AAAATACTGATGCTTAATTATATAGACATTTCCTCTCTTTTACCTTCTTAAAAAATCTGAATGCATAAGAAAATGATCTCTTTCCTACCAGGTAATTTCTATAAGTATCTTCTCTACTTTGTCAGAATGAATCTTTTTATTATATTTTGGTCTCACTTGCTGTGTACTTCCATTCTCCTCTGGGCCTATGTCCCTTTTAAGTCTAATCACAGGGTCATTTCCTATCTTTTTGAAACATCACTAAGCTGCAGAGTAATAATGATGGTGATGTTATACTTTATATAGTGTTTTCAGACTTCTTTCACACCTGTCTTTCACAACAGCTATTGGAGATAGGCAGAACAAGTGTAAATTGCTTGTTTTTATGGATTAAAAACTTGCAGCTCAAAGTGTTAGCTAAAGTTACTTGTGTGTTTACAATCATAAAACTAGGAAGTGTTTGGAACAGGAATCCTCTTTTGTCTGAGCCTGGGGCCCTTCCACTGCTGTTGCTTCCTGTTATAATATATTCCTGTCATTTTCTCTCTGCATTTCCTTCATGCTTTTGTATTGCCCACTGTTTACTTAGCGTGAAATCCAGAGTAGCAGTTTCTCATGTAGCTTTGTCAAGACTTCCTATAAAAAGAAATTTTAAACAAAGCAGGTCCCTAATTTGCCAGATGCTTTGTACTTAGGTCTTTGAGCATCTGGTGCTGTTTTGCTCCTGTGCCCATGTGGTCATATGTTAGGACTGTGCTGTGTAGGGATTGGTGTCCCAGGGCTGCTGTAACAAACTACCTCCAAACCACGTGGCTTAAAACAAGAGGCACTTGTGCCCTCACACCGCAGGAGGCCATCAGTCCAAAATCAGGGTATTGGCAAAACAGGTTCTGTTGTAGAAGCTCAGAGGGAGAATCTGTACCATGCCTCCTGCCTCACTTTTGGTGAATCCTTGGCTTGTATCCAGTCAGTTCAGTCACTCAGTTGTGTCCGACTCTGCGACCCCACGGACTGCAGCACGCCAGGCTTCCCTGTCCATCACCAATTCGCAGGGCCTGCTCAGACTTGAGTACATCGAGTCGGTGATGCCATCCAGCCATCTCATCCTCTGTCTCCCCTTCTCCTCCCGCCTTCAGTCTTTCCCAGCATCAGGTCTTTTCAGATGAGTCAGTTCTTAGCATCAGGTGGCCAAAGTATTGGAGTTTCAGCTTCAGCATCAGTCCTTCCAATGAATATTCAGGACTGAGTTCTTTTAGGATTGACTGGTTTGATCTCCTTGCAGTCCAAGGGACTCTCAAGAGTCTTCTCCAACACCACAGTTCAAAAGCATCAGTTCTTCAGTTTGTATTAATAGCTGCGTAATTCCAGTCTCTGTCTCTTTCTTCATTTGGCTCTCTTCCCTCTGTCTGTGACCCTGCATGGCATTCTCCTCTCTGTGAGAGTCTGTCTCTGCATCTCTTTTCCTCAGCTTATAAAAACACCAACCACACTGGATGAAGGGCTAGCTCTGTTCCAGTAGGACCTCATGTTAACTTACATCTTAATTGTATCTCCAAACACACTGTTTTCAAATAAGTTCACATTGACAGGTACAAGGGGTGAGAACTTCAACATATCTTTGGTTGGTGGCACAATTCAGCCCATAACAAAATATGTCCTTTTCTTTGTCTCTGCTTTTATTGTTACCCATGTGTTATGTTTATACATATGCTTCCATAAATGTTTATAGAACTACCCTTATTTACAGATTACCATATGGATTTTCCCTCCCATAATTGATATAGATATGTATATATTTCATTCATAAGTCTGAATTTGCCATCTACTTTGTAGTAAACCAGGGAAATTGTGTTCAATACTTTATATTAAAATTTCAATTATCCATGGTCTATTAATATCACAGACACTGGAGACAGTGACAACTGGTTTATATCATATGGACTTTGTCTTATAATTTGGCTCTTTTGTATTGCTCTTCTATTAACCCTTGGTGTCAAGATTGTGTTAGCTTTATTAAGGTGAATGCTGGAAGGGAAGTATATTCAGTGTTACATTTTTTAAGCATTTGATAAAACTTACTTTTGAAACCATCTGAGTCAGGTGTTTGTGCTCCTTCTTCCTTTTCTTATGCGTAATAAATGTATGGCTCCGTGAATTTTCACAGTGTTCACTCCAGGTCAAGAAATAAAATAGCATCCCTCTTATTTCCTCCCTCCTTGCTAAAAGTAACCACTCTCGATTAGCGTGTCAGTACCTTAATTCTAGTTTTATCTGTTGTGTGCCTTGTGTATTGGAGTCATATGATATGTGTTTTGGGTCTGCTGCTTTTCACTCAGCGTTATGCTGGACCATCTATATTTTTGCAGGTGGTTGTAGTGTGTTCATTTTCATTATTCTCTAGTCTGTCTGTATAGTCAGTCTGTCGTGCATTAGAAGGGCCTTCTCTCTCTCTGAAAACATGCAGACCACACAGGATGTGATTAGGCAAAGACCAGAAATAGGTCTCTCCTTTTAAAAATCCGTTAGTTCACCGGTACCTCCAGCTTCAATCCCCAGTGTTTGTTGTAACCTTTTCCCTTCCCATATTTGTGTTTCCTTTGTCTTAACAGAGAGAACTCTGGGTCCCCTTTTCCCTGATAGATTTTCTTTTCTTTTTTCTTTGTAAATTTTATTTATCTGGCTGTGTTGGATCTCAGTGGCAGCACGAGGGACCTTTGTTGCATCACGTGGGATCTTTTGTTACGGCTTCCCTGGGCTCTCTGGTTGCAGCATGGGGCTTAGTTGCTTCACAGCCTGTGGGACCTTAGTTCTCCCAAGGATTGAACCATTGTCCTCTGCATTGCAAGGCAGATAGTTAACCTCTGGACCGCCAGGGGAGTCCCTAGATTTTCTTATTTGATGAATCCCCTGTGTACAACAGATCTCTCTCCACCTTTGAACTCTTCCATGTGAAGATGCCCTCCTCACCCTGCTCAGGCGCTCATTCCCCCGGCCGGCCCCCCCTCACGGTAACGCTCCTCAGTGCTCCCAGGCTCCATCATCCCGTGCAGTCCGGCCCTTGGATGGATGTGGGTGGTCTCCTCACAGTCTCTGCTCTGTTGCCCAGCAGACCAGCCTCTGCGCGGTCATCTGCTGTCCTCTGCCCTACCTCAGGCTGTAGGACTGGACCGTCTGGGAATGAGCGAGGGCCTCTCTAGATTCTTAAGTTTCACTTTAATGTTTCTGGCTGTGGGTTTTTTTCTTTCTTTCTTTCTTCAAGTCCTTTTAGTTTGAGGTTGTATATTTTCTCTAATTCTGGGAAGTTTATAGAAGTTTATCTCTGCAGGTATTTCATCACCTTCATATACTTTTTTCTCTTCTATATATTCTGTGATGTGGATGTTGATTCCTTCATTTCTCTATTCCTTATCTCTTTAATTTAATTTTGTGTATGTTGCCTCTCCTGATGTCTTCTAGCAGAGTAGAAGACATGGTGGTGTTTTAGCTTATTAATTTAAATGTCTTGTTTTAGCTTATTAATTTGTTCAGCTGTATCCTTTCTGCTCTTCGATCTATCCATCTCTTAAGTGTATTTCCTTGGTTATATTTTTCATACATAGTATTTTTATTTGCTTCATTGTGATATTTTCTTCTTGCTTTGTATCTAATAGCGTTTCCTATTTAATTTATTTTGAACTTTTATTTTCTGATTTTCTCTTGTGAACTCCTGTGTCCTGGGGATAATAGACACCTTAGCTCATGAACTCTGTGAGGAGGGGTGGAGAAAGTCCAGTTTGCACCTCATTTGTGCATCATCTTCTGGGTTTAAAGAGTGAAGCCAGGGTAGGGGAGTCGCTTGAGGGAGATGACTTACCCAGGGTCACTATAGTGTGGAATCCCTTCCCAGACGCTGCACTTTTCCGGGTCTGTTTCCCTTTGTTGAGACCACCCAGTGCATGGAGTGTAGAAAGAGGTGGGGGGAAGAGGAAACTTGTGAACATGTAGGGACCACCCAGTGACGTCCATAAGGTTCTGAACTGCTTTTCCACCAGCTGACTCGACTGCCACCCACATGTTACCCTGCAGCCTCTTGACAGATCCGGGCTTGCTGACAGTTTTCCTGCCTTGCAGCCACAGTTGTCTGAGCCTGTTGGAGGGAAAAATATTTGCCAAAATAACTGTACCACACCCTAACTCCCATCTCTGGTGTCTGGTCCTTGTCTTCCCTGTCTGTTTTTTCACTCTGTACTGGGACCGAATTTCCCTTTGTTGTCCCAGGAATTTCTGTGTGTGAACACAAGTGTTTTTTTTCTTTTTCTTTAAAATAGGTTTATGCTATATATATGATCTAGCAACTTGTTGTTTTTAAAATGGCTACATGATTGATTACACAGGAAGATAGCTTGGATTCAATAGTAAATATCTTTAAAATATATGTATGTGTAAGTGTATGAGTATGTGTGTGTGTCTGGTTTTATATCCCTTTTATAATGAACTATATATATATTATTGCCTTATCATCTTAAATATAACTGTAAGTTAGTGATAGGGTATAGAGTGTAGTCATTCGTGTTCTGTGCCATACTTAGCCATTTCCCTCTTTTTTTTTTTTAATTTTCTTAATAGCTTTTAAATATTATGATACTGAAATAAACCTGTTGTAGACAAAGGGTTTTCCATTTGTATTAATAGGATTTTTTTCCAGGATGGATTACAGAATGGATCAAATAGATAAATAGGTTAAAGGATTTTTTTATTCTTAACCATGTAGAGGAGTGCCTGAAACATGTTAGGCATTCAAATAGTGTTTATTGAATGGAACAATATTATAAAAACTGTTTTCTGGTATGGATGTACCAGTTTTGATTCCCATACACAAGATGAGATTGTCTGTTCTGCACCATCCTATAATTTTTGGATGATTTGATTGTAATCAGAAGATGTCTCTATCTTTTAAAAAAACTGCTATCAGATAATATATATAAGGTCTATTTCTCTTTTATTTTTGCGTGCTCGATAAATGGACACATGTTTTCTTGCAGAACTGAATTTGCTCTTAAAGAAATCATGTCGTCTGGCGGTGCTGAAGATGACATCCCACAGGGAGAGAGGAAAACAGTGACAGATTTTTGTTACCTTCTGGATAAATCTAAGCAACTGTTCAATGGGTTGAGGTCAGTGGACTCTTCATGCCTTAAACTTTTTATCTAGTTCTGTATATTTTTTTCCCCACAGCTGATGTGTGGTAAATATCTGAAATTTATGGGCAAAATGTGATATAAATATCTGTACTTGTTGTACTCAAATTGAGTGAGCTGTTTTTTAAGATGGTTTTGTGTACATTACTCCACATCATACCTCTTTTACATCTGATTTTACACTTCGTAATATCTAAGGAGCCTGGGATGCATACACAGGAGAACCTGGGGCCTCTCTTTCTGTTACATCTTTTCTGTGTACTTGGTTATTTGCTTACTTGTTTTATCCTTTCTTTTTCTTAGGATAAGGTATCTAAAGTAATGATGGAGTTTTTTCAAGATAGTGTCGTTCTTTAGTTGTGCATACCCTGACTAGTAGCAGAAGCTATATGCACTTTTGTCAAAATGTATAATTTTGTACCATTTTATATTATTTAAACTGTTTAGCCATATTTTCAATTCATGAGATTCTTAAGATACTGATTTACTTCAGACTTAAAGCTTCATTCTATAGGTAAGATACTAAGGATAAATAGTTGTGGGGGTTTTTTTGGAAACTTTATATGGGAGTGAATAATTATAAAGATAGTGAGTTATTTTTGTTTAATTATTTTTTGTTGAAGTATAGTTGATTTACAGTGTATTTAGTGAGTTATTTTTAATTTGCAGTTTATTTTTGGATAAAAATGCAATCTTCTTTTCACATACTTTATAATTGTATTCTGCTATTTGGAATTGTAATGGAGGAGTTTATTTTAAAGAATTTACCTTTAAAAAACATTTACAGTCAAAAAGATAATACAGGGTCGTCAAATGAGTCCTCCGTGACCACTCTGTCTAAAGCTCTGCTTTCAGTTGCCCTCTCATCTCTATATTCATTTAATCTGCTACATAAAAATCATCACTACCTCAAGTTACCTTATTTATTGCTACGATTTTATTTACATTGAAATGAAATGTCCCTAGGACCAATACCCTATGTGTCACTGTTTCTCTACTACCTAAGCCAGGGTTTTGCCTGTTACAGGTGTTTCACAAACATTTGTTAAATGAAGGGTTCCAAAGACAGTGTTCCTAACTCCTACACTCTGCTGCTTCCTATTTTGTGCTACAGAAGAGGTCCTTGTAATCAGCTTTTTCTTTTGCTGTGTTGATTAATTGCATCTTTTTAAATAATTATTTTCTTTCACTATTATAATTCAAAAAACAACCCCTGTAGGCCCAGGTTTTAAGTCTTTTTTTTTTTCCTAGAATGTTGTAGAACTTTTAAACTGCATACTTAAAGTTTTTTTTCTTTGTTCCACTTCATTATCCAGGTATATCTTGTTTTTTCAACATTTACTTGGCCTCCAGTATGTACCATATTCTATATTAGGTACAGATAATTTGAAAATAAAACTGACAGTCCCTGCCCTCAAATAATCTGCGAGGAAATTATAAAAATACAGAATGGGGGGAGAAAAAAAACCTTCAAGCCCATGACGACATTCTACTCAATGCTAGCCTCAGATTTACCCTATCTGTTAAGCAAATTTCCTATATATCTCCATGTTCTTGTTTCTTAAGGTAGTAAGAAAAATTAAAACATTCATAGATTTTAGGAATAAGGAAGCATTTAAAAGTTTGCATGAAAATCCCTACCATAACTTATGACATGTGCCTCTCAAACTCCTTATTTTCAACTCTTAAAACATTATCATTGTTAAAATAACTCTGACACCTTCGTTTATGTAGTAACATGTATCAGTACTGTGTTCCTTTTATCAGACATTAATATACCCTTGTACAGATTTGTTTATCCAGTCATGAGTTGCTGAACATTTAAGTTATTTTGTACTTTCTGCTGTTATGAGTAATACTGCAGGAACATTTGTGTATCAGGTTTTGCGTGGACATGTGTGTTTCCAGTCCTCTTGAATACATATACCTCAGAGTGAAAATGCTGGCTCATACGGTACTGTAAGTTTAACCTTTTGAGAAACTTCTAGACTGTTTTTCAAGGAGGCTGTAGCACCAGCAGTGTATGGGGTTCCAATTTCTCCACATCCTCCAACACTTGTTATTGCCTCTCTTTGTGATGATAGCCATCCTAGGGTGTATGAAGTGGTATCTCCTTATGGCTTTGTTTTGCATGTCCCTAATGACTAACAATGTGAGCATCTTGTCATGTGCTTATTAGGCATTTTTATGTCATCTTTGGAGAAAATGTTTAATCCTTTGATCATTTTTCAAGTAGATTTATTTTTTTATTTTTATTTCATTCTTTTTTGTTTGTTTGTTTGTCTTTATCTTTTTATTTTTAAATTGTAGTCATTTTCTGTATGTTGTGGATACAAGTCCCTTGTGATGTGTAATGATTTGCAGGTATATGTTTTCCCATTCTTTTGTTATCTCATCAGTTTCTTAATGGTGTCCTTTGAAGCACAAATGCTTTAATTTTAATAAAGTCCAACTTGTCATTCTCTTTCATCACTTGTACTTTTGGTGTCACATCTAAGAAATCATTGCCTAACCTGAGGTCACTGAAATGTTTTCTTCTAATAGTTTTGTGGTTTTAGCTCTTACAGTTTGATATGTGAACCATTCTGTGTTAGCTTTTGTATATGATGAGATCGTAGGCATTTTTTTGTGAGAAGACATATTTTTACAGTTGATTGTATTTCTTTCATTTTTTTTTTCTTTGTTTGTTCCTTGTTTCTCCTTACTTGTTCATACTTGTAATGCTTAGATTGAATTTCCAATTTAAATCCTCTAGAACCTCTACTCTCTTTTGATTTTCATCTCTATTCTTTTTCTCAGTATTTTTAGAAAATGTCTTCAATTTTCCCATAATATGCCTGGCATGTTTATCTTGTCATTTCGTATCAGTGGTTTTTGCTAGATTGCTTTTGAAAAAAACTAGATACTGTGTATTTGATCCAGAGTTTACTAACTTTTCTACCTATATATGCAAGTAAGACAGACACTAGAAATTTTGATGTGTTTGTGAACAGAAATTTTTTTTTTAGTATGTCTGAGAAGCATATTAAATTTAGCAGTGGCATTTCTCTTCTTAAAGAGAATTATTTTCCTAATCTGATTCTGAATCATAAATGAATCATAAAGTTCAAGCGGTCTCCCACTGGAGACTCTACTGGACTCAGTCACCCTGTGCCTGCTGTAACGCCAGAACACGTATCCACACAGCACTCTATAGTTTATAAATCACTTTCAGCTGCATCTTTATCCTTTGGCCACATACCAAAAATATGTTGCCTAAAAATGAATTGCTTTATTTCACCTTCTTTTTCAGTGTTTTGGTTGTGTAAATATATTTTACCAGCTCAGATCTGTTACCATTTTTATTTCTTGTTTGTTTGTTTTGACTGCACCTTATGGCTTTTGGGATCTTAGTTCCCTAATCAGGGCTTGAACCCTGGCCTGTGGCATTGATAGCACTGAGTCTTCACCCCTAGACTGCCAGGGAGTTCCCTCATTTTGATTTTTTTAAAGTGCTGTTTTACCTATAACATAGGTTTTATTTATTTTTAAACTAACTGCAGAGTGAACTTGTTTCTGTGGAAACAGGAGGAAACCTTAATACATGGAAAAATTGTGTGAGATCTGATCTTTAGGGCTATTTATTCACAGTCAGAGAAATTTATTATAATGCTTAGGATACCTTTTTCAGTTTAGTTCTTGTGTTAGGGGGAGAACACACTGACTGAAACTGCCCACCCTAGCTAGGCACCATAGTAACCATTTACATGAGTTCGTTCATGACAGAAGATACCGGTAAGGAACACGGTCTAATAAGCCACCACCAACTGGAAGAGCTCAGGAAAGGTCAAAAGGGAGACACCACATGTCCTACCACCTCCCAGAATCCTTCTCACTGGCATCCATCTTGGCTGAGCAATCTGTGTGCCACCAGGAGGGACCCTGAGTCAGAGCGATTGGCCAAAGACAACCCAGAAATTAATTCTGTGACCATAAAACCCAAGACTGCAAACCACATGGCAGAGCTGTCCTCCTGGGTTCCCTGGCCCTCCCGCTCTCCACCAGGCACCCTTTCCCAATGAGAGTCTCTTGCTTTGTCAACATGTGTGTCTCCTCAGACAGTTCATTTCCAGTGTTAGACAAGAGCCCCTTTTGGGGCCCTGGAAGGGGTCCCCCTTCTTGCAACACCTGAGCACTTAAAACTATATTGGATTCAGGGATTGATCTTTTCATACAACTCAATATCAAAAAAACCAACAATCTGATTAGAAAATGGTCAGAGGATCTGACTGGTTCTTTTTCCAAAAAAATACATACAGATGGCCAGCAGATACATGAAAAGACTCTGAACATTGTTAATCATCAGGAAAATGCAAATCAAAACCACATGAGATACCACCTCACACCGGTAAGAATGGCTTATCAAAAAGACAAAAAATAACACATGTGGAGAAAGGGAGCCCTTGCCTACTGTTGGTGGGAATGTAAATTGATGCAGTCACCATAGAAAACAGTGTAGAGGTCCTTAAAAAGTTAAAACTACCACAGCATCCAGCAATTCTACTTCTGAGCATTTATGCAAAGAAAATGAAAACACTAACTTGAAAAATTATATACACCTCTATGTTCATTGAAACATTATTTATAATAGCCAAGATATGGAAATAATGTATCCATTGACAGATGAATGGATAAAGAAATTGTAGAATATATATAGTATGAATATTCTTCAAGCATTAAAAATTAAGGAAATATTGAAATTTATGATAACCTGTATAGACCTTGAGGGCATTATGCTTAAGTAAGTCACACAGAGAAAGACAAATACCATATGATCTCACTTCATGTAGAATCTAAAAACAACAACAGCAAAAACCAGAACAAAACGTAAAAGAAACAGCTGAGTTTGGATACGGAGGACAGACTGGTGATTGCCAGAGACAGGAGAGAGGGGCACGTATGCAGTGGGTGAAGGAGGTTGAAAAGTACAAACTTTC